GGGTTTCACCATGTTGACCAGGATGGTCTCAATCTCTTGACCTCGTGATCCACCCGCCTCGGCCTCCCAAAGTGCTGGGATTACAGGCTTGAACCACCACGCCCAGACAATTTTTGTACTTTTAGTAGAGATGGGGTTTCACCAGGTTGGCCAGGCTGATCTTGAACTCCTGACCTCAGGTGATCCACCTGCCTTGGCCTCCCAAAGTGCTGGGATTACAGAGGTGAGCCGCCTCGCCCAGCCTAATTTGCATACGTTTATTTAAAATGTCATTAAAGAGCCAGGCATGGTGGTGCTCCCTTGTGGTCCCAGCTGCTCAGGAGACCGAGGGGGTTGGATCCCTTGAGCGCAGAAGTTTAGGCTGCAGTGAGCCATGATCGCGCCACGGAACACCAGCCTGGGCAACAGAGCGAGACTGTGTCTCCAGGTGCGGTGGCTCCGCCTGTAATCCCGGCGCTTTGGGAGGCTGAGGCAGTTGGATCACCTGAGGTCAGGAGTTCGAGACCAGCCTGGCCAACATGGTGAAACCCCACCTCTACTAAAAATACAAATGTTAGGCTGGACGCGGCGGCTCACGCCTGTAATCCCAGCACTTTGGGAGGCCGAGGCGGGCGGATCGTGAGGTCAAGAGTTCAAGAGCAGCCTGGCCAGGACGGTGAAACCCCATCTCTACTAAAAATAAAATTAACCGGGCATGGTAATCCCAGCTACCCTGGAGGTTGAGGTAGGATAATTGCTGGAACCTGGGAGATGGAGGTCGCAGTGAGCCAAAACCATGCCACTACACCCGCCTCTGAGCAACAGAGCGAGACTTTGTCCCAAAAACAAACCCCAAAAAAACACAAAAATTAGGCAGGCATGGTGGTGTGGGCCTCGAATTCCAGCCGCTCGGGAGGCTGAGACAGGAGAATTGCTTGAACCCAGGAGGCGGAGGCTGCGGTGAGCTGATTGCACCCTGCCCTCCAGCCTGGGTGACAGAGCCAGACTGCCTCAAAAAAAATACAGGCCAGGCTCGGCGGTTCACACCTGTACTCCCAGTGCTCTGGGGGCCGAGGCAGGCGGATCGCAAGGTCGGGGGTCGGAATCCAGCCTGGCCGATATGGTGAAAACCCGTGTCTACTAAAAATACGGAGTGTAGCCGGGCGTGGTGGCGCACACCTGTAATCCCGGCTACTCGGGAGGCTGAGACGGGAGAATCGCTTGAACCCGGAGGCAGAGGTTTTCGTGAGCCGGGATCACGCCGCTGCACTCCGGCTGGGCGACAGAACGAGACTCTGTCTCAGAAAATGATAAACAATAAAAATAAATGAGAGAAGCAGGAGTAATAACCGAGGGCGGGCCCAGACGCCCCTCGCTTCTCAGCTGAGATGTGCTGACCGATAGGAGGGAGTTACAGGGGCCGTGGGGTGTGAGGCTGGCGCCCCAGTGACCCTTTGTCCCCGCCTGGGGAGCGCCGCGCCCCAGCCTCCCGCCACGTATGGGACTTGGGATGTGTTTGCACACAGAGCAGGTGGGCATTGATGGGGTCAGAGCTGCAGAGGGAGAGCCTGCCAGCGCCCCTCCCGGAGCCTGGCACAGCTGCCCAGGCTGAGTCGGCTCATTGTCTGGCTCTCACCCGCACATCTGGTCCCATTTCCTGAACGGGGCCCCATGGTCCCCCTTCCCCGGGCGGGTCAACTGAGGACTCAGTGGGGCAGGACCTCCTGGGCTGGCCTGGTGCCTCTGCCCACCCTGCCCCCTCTGGTCTGGCTCAGGTGCCCCCTGGAACTTTGACGTCCTCTTCACCTCACAGATGTTCCGATCTCAGAGGGTGCAAAAGGCAGGGTCCAGACTTGCCTTTGGGGTCTCAGTTTCCCCAGGAGTGAAGTGGGCAGGGAGCATCAGCCCTGGCCCGACCACCGACCCACCATGACCAGTGTGCAAACCATGTCATCTGCCTGGGTCTCCGGTTCTGTTGGTTACCTCTGAGCATGGGGAGCTCACCACCTCTTTTGCTTGGGAGAGGATGGGCGGTGGGCCCTCGGGGATGGGGGGTCCCGGGGCGTGAGCAGCCGCCCACTGCCGCCCTTCCTGGTGCCCTTGCAGAACCACTCGTGGAGCGAGCTGTACTCCTTCGCGCTCTTCAAGGCCATGAGCCACATGCTGTGTATCGGGTACGGCCGGCAGGCGCCCGAGAGCATGACGGACATCTGGCTGACCATGCTCAGCATGATCGTGGGCGCCACCTGCTACGCCATGTTCATCGGCCACGCCACCGCGCTCATCCAGTCGCTGGACTCTTCACGGCGCCAGTACCAGGAGAAGGTCTGAGAAAGGCGGGCACTGGCCTGGGGTCTGAGGGGGGAGGCAGGTCCTGCCCTGGGGTCTGAGGGGAGAGGCAGGTCCCGCCCTGGGGTCTGAGGGGGGAGGTAGGTCCTGCCCTGGGGTCTGATGGGGGCGGCAGGTCCCGCCCTGGGGTCTGATGGAGGAGGCAGGTCCTGCCCTGGGGTCTGATGGGGGAGGCAGGTCCTGCCCTGGGGTCTGAGGGGGGAGACATGTCCTGCCCTAGGGTCTGAGGGGAGAGGCAGGCCCAGCCCTGGGGTTTGATGGGGGAGGCAGGTCCCGCTTTGGGGTCTGAGGGGAGAGGGAGGTGCTGCCGTGGGGTCTGAGGGGGGAGACACGTCCTGCCCTAGGGTCTGAGGGGGGAGGTAGGTTCCGCCCTGGGGTCTGATGTGGGAGGCAGGTCCCGCCCTGGGGTCTGATGGGGGAGGCAGGTCCCGCTTTGGGGTCTGAGGGGAGAGGGAGGTCCTGCCGTGGAGTCTGAGGGGGGAGACATGTCCTGCCCTAGGGTCTGAGGGGGGAGGTAGGTTCCGCCCTGGGGTCTGATGTGGGAGGCAGGTCCCACCCTGGGGTCTGATGGAGGAGGCAGGTCCCACCCTGAGGTCTGATGGAGGAGGCAGGTCCCACTCTGGGGTCCGAGAGGGGAGGCAGAGCCAGCCCTCATTCAGCTGCAAGTGGCATGCTCAGGGCGGAGGCAACATGGTAGGGAGGGGGCGCCCTAGGGGGTCTGTGGCTGTGGTTAAGAACCGAAACCCCTCTGCTGAGCTTGTGAAGCAGGGGGAGGTCTGGAGCCTGGAGGTGGGTGTGGGGAGGAGCTGGGGAAGGGACGCAGGCTGGGCAGGAAGAGGCTGAGTTGGGGTCAGGGCAGGGCCAGTCCTCGGACGTCAGGAAGCTCCTGGGCAGAAGACGGTGCTGGGGACCTGGAGCCAGAGCAGCAGAGACGGGCGTTGCGGGAGGGGGGCCCCCCGGGGGTTTCTAGGCTGGCTCAGTATGGGGCTGGGTTGGGGAAGGGGCCCGGCGGGGTCTGAGAGGTCTGGGGTCACTTGAGGACACACCAGTGGCCGGGAGTTGGGGCCAGGCTTCAGGGAGAGCAGGGCTGTCCCGCCGCGGCCTCTGGCCTGCAGTGACCACCGGGCTAATCCCAGCTCCACCGTGGCGGGTGGTGGGAGATGGAGATCGGGCCCATGGGCCGCGGGCCTCTGAAGTTGGGCCTTGTGTGCCTCTCTGTGCCTCAGTTTCCCTCTGTGAGGCGGCCCTGTCCAGCACACGGCCTGGCTGGCTGGTCCTGGCTGGGAGCCACGTGCCCCCCTTGGCGGTGGCTGGCAGGGTCGGCCGGGTCAGCTGGGCCCTGTGCCAGCCGCCCGGCTGTCCGGAAGCCACAGGCCTCACACCCAAACATAAGCTGGTGCCACCACCCGCCCGCCGTCACGGGGTCCGCTGAGCTCAGGGCAGCTGTGGGACTGGGTCGGAAGTGAGGCTGGAGCCCCCGGGTGGCACCGTCCTGGGGACAGCAGGGCCTGGCACCCCCACCTGGCCTGCTCGGGAGGGGCTGACCCGAGGGTTTCTAGAAGGATCATCAGGGAAGGGGGTCAGAGCGCCTGCAGGGTTGGGGGCCCTCAGAAAGTGGTTCTGTGTGTCAGGGTGCCTGGTCCCTCCTTTCAGGCGCCCACCCATTCCTCAGGGGTGGGGTTGCCAGGTAACATTCAGGAGACCGGGCTGGGCACGGTGGCTCCCGCCTGTAATCTCAGCACTTAGGGAGGCCGAGATGAGCAGATCACTTGAGATCAGGAGTTCAAGACCAGCCTCGCCAACATCTCTACAAAAAATCAAAACATTGGCCGGGCATGGTGGCACACACCTGTAATCCCTGCTGCTCAGGAGGCCGAGGTGGGGGGAGCACTTAAGTCTGGAGGCTAAAAAGAATTTTTTTTTTTTTTTTTTTTTGAGACGGAGTTT